AATGATGTTAGGCAAATCATAGGAAATAAGAGATTGCATGGTTATAATTTTGTATCATGAAATGTTGATCTTTTGTTAATTGAAGTCCATCCTCATGAATTTCATCTGTAAAGAATCTCAAGTCCTTCTCTGTTTTAATTCATTGCTGAGGACAACAATGTTCAAATCTGGGAATTGTGATGAACCCTTAGTTTATCAGGTTTTTGAGCATGAATTCGTATAAATTTGTGTGATTAAATGGATGAAAAAGAGGTCAATGTCCTATAAATTCCTAAATACAAGTTCTCGAAGTTGTATTGAAAATTTACATTGTTCTTGTAGGGAATTGAAGCTCAAAGAAGCAAAAGAGAGAAGGAAGAAGATTCTGAAAATTGGAAAATTCTAAGTGTTGGGCGCTAAAACGCCCAAAACTGAGCGTTTTAGCGCCCTGCTGCACAAAAGATGCTGGTGCTGAACATTAAAATGGCCAAAACTGGGCGTTTTAGCGCCCAAGACAGTTAAAAGCAGTTGGGCATCCGTCAAGGTTGAGCGCTAAAACGTCCAGAAATGAGAGTTTTAGCGCCCATGTCAGTTTTCAGTTGTAATTTGTAAATTATAAAAGGACAAGGGGCCTTCACAAGAGTAGAATCAGATTCAACTCTCTCATATCCATTCTCTGATATTCTAACTTTTCCTATCACACTAGGAGAGGGGAGATCAGATCAGATCTTTCATAGATCTGATCTGACTCCTCATTCTCTCTGAATTTCCAAATTCTTTAGGATTAGTTCTTGTAATAGTTAGTATTTCCTATGTAATTGTACTTGGAGATTGAAGACTCAACTATCATGACAATGGAGTTTGATCTATCTTTCTTCTCTTGTTATTATTTGTATTATGTCTGAGTAGAGTCCTTTGTAGTCTGATTCAATGGAACTCAAGTTTGAATTTATGAATGGTTAATTAGATGTTTTGTTTATCTATTATGTGATTGTATGAAGTTGTCTTGATTAATTCTTCATGTTGAGGAATAGTGTATAACAGACATGTTTACATTGTTTCCTTATTTTTGACAACTTCATCATCAGTGTTCTAGTAGTCAAGGGATTGATGCTAGGATTCTGATGTGATCTTAAGACCTTAGTAATTAATGCATGTATTAAGAAAGGAATCACCAAGGGATTGGGGTTTCTGATTAATGTGTCTATCAGGGTAGTAAGGGATTACATCTTGAGATGATAAGAAAAAGGTTGATCAACATCACATAGTAGATAATTCATAATAGAAATTGGTTCATCTATAAATTCATGTTTGAGGGAAAATGACATCTGACTACTTGTTTACATTATAATTTACATTTTATTTATTTATCAAGTTTTAATTCAATTCAGTGTAGTTTCTGGTGACAAGAAATCTATGCAATCTATGAACTTTTGTTTGATTCAACTCAAGTACATATGGTTAGTCAGTGCTTGACACAAATCCTCGTGGGAACGATCTTTACTCATCATTTTATTACTTGTACGACTAGTACACTTGCTAGATCCGCAACAGCGAGAAAAGAAAATAAAAAAATATAGGACAAACAGTCTAAACATAAGAAAAAATAGATACATGCTTAAAAATGATAATTGCAAATTATATTACTTTCTATTTTTTTTCCATCTTTTTGCTTACATTAAAATTATTCTAAACACAATACTTAATAATGTATGAGTTGTTGGTGTAATAGCATCTCAGCTAGATTCTAGGATTTGATCTGTCTAGTAATTATACAAGTCTTTGTTGGAATTGGTGTTGTGAGATGATGACTCCGCGACATACTCTGGGACTTTGTGGGATGCTCTGCAAGAAGAAAGATGTTAAGGCAGGATGTCTTTATTGACTAGGGTGATGGGGATGGGGGAACAATACTTGCGAGGTATATTGACGCTCAAGTCAGGTTATGAGTTATGAGCTTAAGTTAAAATGAAATGGATAATCGTATATGTGCATCAAGCCTCTGTTTATGTAATGGTTGAATGTCATTCTTATGTCGCCTTAATGTGACAGTAGCTAATCTCATTGTAATATGCGAGATGTTATATATTCAAGATGACATCATTTCCTTAGCCTTGAAGTCTTAGTTGGGGCCCTTCATGGACTGGACCTTATATCTTATAACATCCCACATAATCAGTTAGCATAAAGGATATCACATTACTTCTTAATTCATATTTTAAATAAAAGAACGAGAATTATGCTGAGATTCTAACACAGCAGATACAAAATAAAGCATATGATAAAATATTTTTTAAAGTTTAATTATACATATGACTGAGTCAAATACATGTTTACTCCAATGATACACATACTGGCATGTTTACTCTCTGTAAAGGTTAGCATAAAAATAAACACACGTGAGATAAATCTCGGTAATATTGGGGTTTTCAAACTATAACTAATCCAACCACTTTAGAGGAAAATATCATCCTCACAAATCATATTTATAATAAGAAAATAATAACTTGAATAATAAATATATGCCCAGACCTTTGTGGGTTCTTCATTCAAACATACCCAAACCTTTGTGGGTTCTTCATTCAAACATACCCAAACCTTTGTGGGTTCTACATACAAACACACTCAAATCTTTGTGGGTTCCTGCATACAAATATATAAAGGAACGTGTAGTCCTTAACTGAAACGACTAATGCTCAAATTTCATGAGCGCCCAAATCCTGTGGGTTCTGCATGTGAAAAGTTCTGTATAGCGGAGCTCAAGTCATGATAAGGCGTCCCTTACCCTATAACCATTCTGATCCCCTTGTGGGTCAGTCACATCATAATCATTCAGTAAGAGATTACACATTCCATCAATATCTATTTAATGCCGAAGAAATTCCTTAATTCTATATTCTTGATTCAAGATCATTCTTATAATTAATATGAATAAATCCATCAAATCCACAAACTCAAAGATAACAGATAAATCAAAAGAATATAAAAGATTCAGAAGAAAACATTTGGACAGAGTACGACACCTTCACAACTTTTAAAGTAATAACTTCAAAATACCAGCTTTACATATAAAATAAATCAAAAGTATAAAATTAGGAGAATGGGGTTTTGCTCCCAATATTACCTTTCTTCTTATCTCCCTCACTTCTTTTCATGTTTCTCCTTTTCTATTCCTTCTCTTTTTTCACAGGTTTCTCTCTATTTCTTTCTTACAGTTTCTTTTTTTTTTCTTTCTAACTCTCTACCTCTATTTTTTCTCTTTATTTTTTTTTCTATTTCCTCTCTCTCGTTCTCTATTTCTTTCTCTCTCTCTCTCTGTTGTTGTTTTCATTTCTTTGTTTGTGTAAAAGTGTACGTATTTATATGGGTATGTTATGTGTTAAACACTCAAATTATGTAATTCAAATTACGTAATCGTTACTTTTTCGAATAAAAATATAACTAACTATTGATTACATAATTAAAAATCTTATACTTTCATCTCGCTAGCTTGCAGGGTTTCACTTAGGTTGGTAAAAACAAGCCAACTCGTCGGGTTGGGTTGGCAAAAATGAGCTGCCAACCCAACCCGAGCCAGCTCGGACAAAAACGAGCCAACCCGCGGGTCAAACGAGTCAGCTCGCGGGTTGAGTTTTTTTTTTATAAAAAAATACAAAATATAATATACAAAAATGGACAAAACCCACGCATGTTGTCATTTGCTTTCTTCCTTCTCTAAACCTAAGTCTCTAATCTTCTCACATCCCTGCCATTTTTATATTGTTAGGTTGTGCTAGCTCTATTTGGTTCGAATATCTTACCCACTTGGTAGCAAGTGGTTCTGATTATTTCTTGATGTTGGTGCAAATTTGTTGTGAAGAAAATTCGAAACTAGAATATATTATTTTTATTTCTCATTTTGTAAACCTTTGTTTAAGCTGATGGAAGCTACATAACTGATACATTAATATTACAGGTTCATTTAAATAGGCTGAAAACGAGCCAACCCACGAGCAATTTTCGAGTCAACCCGCGAGCCAATTTTCTAGCCAACTCGCGAGCTAATTTTTCAAGCCAACCCACAAGCCATATTTTTGAGCCAACCCCAACCCGAGTCGGGTTGGGTTTTCTGTCTCGTTTTTTTTTTCGAGCCAACCCTAACCCAACTCGTTTTTTTTGAGTTTTATGCGGGTTGGGCCGAGTCAAGCCTGGTTGGCCCATTTTGCCAACCCTAGTTTCACTACGTGGCTTATAACTATTGTTATATCATTTATATTATTTTATTTTATTATTTTTATATGATTCATATTATTTATTTATTATTTTATTGTTATTATTTATTTTTTTAATTATAAAGCTGTTTAAAACAGATTCATTCCTACGATAATCTGGTGCTTTTAGCACCAAGTTGAAGATTCTAGCACCAAGGTGAGGATTTTAGCGCCATGATGTACTGATACTAAAGAAGAATACGTAGAATAAGCATAAAAGGGATAAGAAGCTGCTAAAAGACATGGAATTTGAAGTGATTTTGTGTGCTTATTCCATAATATGTAGATGACCAAATTAGTGATATAAAACCCTGTCACGTACCATATTGAGAGTTTACTTTCTAACTATCCAATGTGATTTCATTTATAAACACCATAATCATAACTATAAAAAAGTTGATTAACAAAATTGAATATGAACAAATTAATTGTATAAACAATCAAACGCAATAGGTTCATACGGTGAGCACGGACCACTTATAACAAAGGGGTACTTCAGTTAGCACAGAAGGGATTTTAGCCCTTTAGGCAAGGCCAACACACATGATTACAAAAATTTTAGTTCCTTATATACGATGCAAATATTTTAAATAAAAACACTAGATGATTCTTACATTATGAGTTCGCTTGTACACAGAAAGGTTAGTTGATATATGATTAAAGTCTCTTTGATTGTTGCTGATCGAAGCACTAGAAGAAACTGCAGGGAATTTCGTGGTCAACCAAAATTATATATATATATTAATCTCAAAAATTTATATATAACTGCCGCTTCAGCACCAAAAAAATTGCTAAGCAATCCAAGCTATGAAACAATAGCTCAATCAAAAGGGCACTTTATCATTACTATCAACTCTCTAACAGAACAGAGGCAAAAGGTCTCAAATTTACAGTGAAGAGAGACATCCTTGTCTGGGTCCATATGAATAAGTACACCATCTCTGAAAACATATTTAAAATCAAGCTTCAGTGGTTCATTCAGTGCCATATCTTTGCTTCCAGTTGCATGATGGCTTTTCGAGTGAGAAACACATTCAGCTGGCACTCCAGTGTTTCTGGGATTACAAGTTCTCAGGTTTGAACATTCAAGAGATGCTTCATGCTTTTCATGCCTTAAGTTTTCATCAGATAAATCAGTGAGATCTTTGGCCAGGTGAATTTTTCTAACTGCTGAAATAAGATCCACAGATAATAATGCTACAGCATCATGGAGATCTTCTACAGTCCAATGGCTACTATTCAACCCCCACTCATGAACAAGTAATTTCTTTGTCAAATTATAGAGACTGTATAGACATTGAGGGCAACATTGATATGAACAAATAACCCCAGATTCAGCAGGACCACTGCCCTTGCTTGAAGGGATATTAATGTCTATAGCATTTTCATCTTTTCCAGAGTTAACATCACTTAATTTAACACCAGTCTCTTCTGAGGACAAGCTGAGGGGCGGATTAGAGACAATCTTGGAGTTGCCAATCTCAACACACTCTGGTTCACGGGCACTATGAAGTCCACTTTCAGAAAGGGTAACAGAGTTAGTGAAAGTAGATTTTGACAACCCACATTCTCCATTTTCAGAGAGGGAAACAGAGGGAGTGAGTATGGATTCATTCAAGTCTTTCGCAAACCCGAATTCTCCACTCACCACTGTAAAATTTCCAGAAGTTAACGATGGCATCCCATTCTCCTGATTTAAGGATGGATCAACAGGTAGGTTTATATCAGCTGAGTTGTTGATATGCTTATCTGAAAAAGAATGGTTTTGAAGAGATCCTTCAGAACTTGCATTTATACCATCATGATGAAGATTATTTAAATCATCATTTCTGTCATTGAAGAAAATAAATCCAGTTGTTTCAGCAGGAATTCCCTTACAACTTCTCCCCAGCGTCTCTAAATCATCACCTTCCATAGGAACAACCAAATGGCAATTTACACCTTCAGCTTGGTGATCATCACTTGTGAGATGGCCATTTAATGGCCCAACATTTTCCGGCATAACCTTCGTCATACACTCTGGGGAATCCTGCTCTAGACTGAAAAGGAAAGAATCACTATTAGAGATCACCCATAAACATATATATATATATATATATATATATATATATATATAGAGAGAGAGAGAGAGAGAGAGAGAGAGAAGCAAACAACCATGCATAGTGGGAACACTAGTAATACCTCAGTAATGCATAAGCCCAGTTATTGACCATATCTTCCAGATAAGCCACTTGTGATAAAACACGGAGATATTGAAATCTGTCCTTTCCAGCTTGAATTTTTGTATTAACTTGCCCAACCAAGATCTCAAGAACATTCCGAACCGCAAGGGAAACTTCCCTGACAGATGTGTAAGCACCTCTGTATGCTGATAAACCAACAGCAACCAAGCCTCTAACTAAGCCAGATCTCTCTTTGCTTTTCATGCTACTAGAGCCACAAGGACCCATGCCCTTGTCTTGTGAATTACTAGGACGAATTATACAGGAATTGAAAGGCCAGCCCTTCCAAGGTCCACTTACATCAGCACAAGGACCATCTTTGAGTTTTGATGTGACCCAACAAAGTTCAGCAAAATGTGGGTACCGAAGAATTTGATAACCAAACGTGGATATTGCCAACAATAGGGTTGACTTCCCCTTCAGTGACCTACTGTTGGGTGGTGCTGGAACTTTTGTAAAGGATTCAGGAAGTTGCATTTTACCATTCTTCTCACTGGCTGATTCATTATTGTTTCTCTGAAGTTCTCTATCTTTACAAGCTTCAATTGAACAATAGGCTCTGTCCCCCCTGCGGGCACCCATTTGAATATGAGATCTCTGATGAATTAATTGAATCTGCTGTTCAACTACATTTCTCAATAGCTCTACTGCAGATTGATTGATCACCACCTCGTGATCAAATTTCCCATCAATCTGCAGAGAGAATTGAGGAACTGTCTGCTCCAAAGGAATTGATTGACTGTATTTTGACTGGTACGTCTTGAAGAATTCCTTTATTTTACATGGAAGTTCAGTATAGGGAACTTCTGAAGTAGCCTGTTGGCCAATGAAAAAAAATAAAAATAAGATCCAAAATTCAACTCTATATAATGAGTTTTGTTACTTTAACAAATCTCAGCCAAGCCTCGCAAAAGTCTCATCACCACCATTTTTCTCTCTTTCTCTCTTCCTTTCTCCTCCCCATCAATGGCCCACAAACTTTTTGTGAGATTTGTGAGATCTCTTTTTTAGTGCAAGAATCATTTCTCATAGAAAATATCATAAACATCAGGTAATTTATCACAATGAATTACCTATTATTCTGAAAGCCAGGGAAAATACGGATTGACAGAAATTTTGATCAAAGAAGTAACGCTTTGTCTGGCAATGTTACTATATAAACAACTATATCTTAAATATCGACAGCTATAAGCATTACTCTATGAATTAGTCATTGCAAATCTTATATGAGAATTAAGAAGTAACTGATTCCATAAAAAATAAATCCACAATTAGTTAAGCACAAGTCAACATAAATCAGCAGCTGATTTGGGATAAGATTTGGCATTTAGCTTCCTACTTGATGTAAAGTATATCATCTTTTTATGGTGTTTCACTAACAGACATGCCGAGGCATTGGGAAGCTTTGCATCATCGATGTTTTTTTCTTTTGTTTTCTTTTCTTTCTCTTTTTTTTTTTGTTGTGTTTTCCTTTTTATGTTAAGGAAGACCTTTATACTCAATTCTTTGTTTCTTTATTAAAAAAATAGAAAAAAAATTAATGAACTGATTATACACATGCTTTTATTTACAAGCAAGATATGCGTTCATACCAGAATCATCAAGGATGAGGATACACCAATGGACTCCACCTGCTCAATAAATGACATCCAGGCATGTGAAACCCTTCTGCTGGCTTGGCCTTCGGCCATTTCTGCTGACTTGTTTTTCTCTGTATTGAATGTGTTTTCCTTCTCAACAACTTGGCTTGGTTTGAAACAAGACTTTTCCATCTCAGAGGATGCATGAAGTGTTGAGCAGGAATCGGTAGTTTCAGACATTTGGAAATGTGTCTCCACAGCCCACAAGTCAATTCTTGGCATGAATACTACACATAATTGCACGCTAGCACATTTCACTGCCAAGTAGAAATGTTACTGTGAGTATCAAATATAAAAATTGCTAAAGGTAAATCATGATAGAGCTGGCTATCAATATTCTCATATCAGGCTACAAATTCATGTCTCATGCTTTGCATCTCTCAATGGTTAGAGAAAAAATTACGATTTTTTTGGAAGCCCAAGTAACATAACCTACTCTGTGGCAGTTCCTACTAAACATAGAAACCTGAAGATAATTTTCTCAGTTGTTTGTAATAAAGACACGAGGAAGCTTTCCCTGCTCCAGCTTTCTCAAGCAATGAATATTGCCATTAATCATGATGACTCAAGGATAAAAAATGGAAGGCTATGTGATGCTGAAAAAATGTTAAGGATGTGACAATATTGAGGGAGAGAAGAGAATAGCAAAGAAACATGGCTGCATTGTAGTCCTGTGAGCCAGTGATCCATGATCTAATAGCAGTAGCAAAAGGATAAGCAAAAAAATAATCCCTTAAATGACATATTTTTGTAGAAAATAGAAAGATTCATTTAGATAGTGTAAAAAATAGAAAGATCAATTTAGATTAAATAGATAGCTGACTTTCCTAATTTCTAGGAGTAGGTATCATATAATTCCTATGATTAAAGAGATATATTTAGTGTATACCGACTATATACTCTAACTCTATGTAACAAGTGAAAATCAATCAGAAATAATAATTGAAAAATAAAGGGGAATTAGTTTCTCCTGCACCTGCACATACATTAAAAATCGTGCCCCCCCCCCCCTATTTTTAAACGGTGGGCCCCACATGAATTTGTTTCTGCATGAGACGATACTCTTCTCCTGTAATAGGAGAAAAGTATCGCCCAAAAATAAAAAGATTCTCTTCTCATCTGTTCTTCATGGCTGCGTTTATATTTGTATCTAAATACACACCTATATATGTATATTTTCTAGAAAAACCAAATCAAATGCAAGGCTTGAAGATGATAAATATCAAGACTGGCATGAAACGTGAAATCCCAATTAAAAAAAAAATGTAATCATGGGAAAATAAATAATGGCTGCAGTAAATTACATAGACCACCTTAGGGATTTAGCAAACTTTAGAGACATCCCTTGTTTCTAATATTGCACAGACCTCATCTTAAACTTTAGCATAGCTCTATAAATTGCCATACTTTATTATAGAGTTACAGACATCCTTTATTTTAAATTAAGGCATAACATAAATCCCCTGTTATCTAATACAGACGTACTGCCTGTTATGGAGTTAGTAAGCAAATCTAAAGGTTACAAGAGAGGTACTGTCAATCAGCTGCAAAACTTCATCACTCATATTTTATGCATCTATCACCAACAGTTAAAAATCTAACAACAAATTAGGATAGAGAAAAATACTTAATATTTTTGCAATCCCTTGAACTACATCTCCATGTCCTTCTTGCGAAATAGTTGCCATATCAATCTTCTGAATTTCAACATTCCCAGTAAAGCAGTAAAGAAGGCAAGATGCAAGATATCTCTGGCCAGATCTGGGATTTCCAGCAATCAATATACGTGTTCCTGATTTGTTTGTCAATGCAAATGACAAACCACTGCGCATGCCAAGCTTCATAGAGTGTTCAAATTTCACCCTGTTATCATCAATATCATCCACACAATCCAAAGAGCCAGCAAAACCATCATCAGCAGACAAAATGCCAGAACAAGTGAGCTTCCTCTCTACCTCGGCTGCAATATTTGCTTCTTGAAGAAAATTATCAACATGCAACCACCAGTGATCAAGAGGCATTTTCTTTTTGTCTAAAGCAGAAATCATCACATTCTTAATCATTGTTACAGCTCTAGATATAGGAGGCGGCAACCATAGGTGTTCATCGAGAAAAAGAGATATGAGAAGAGTGCATAATGGCCGCAATAAACACGGAATAAGGTGTATGGGAAGAGGGGAGCATATTATATCATTAGCAGCATTTCCAGCTTCTCTCCGAGAGCATGGTGGTGGAGAACATGATAAAGCCTCCAACCAATCCCTCTCCTCCACCGCAAAAGACGGAAGAGGAAGGTTCTTACAACCAGAATCTTTCTCTTCGGCTGCAGATAGCACTTCTTGCAAAGGGAAATTCCTCTTCAAAGCATTGAGGGCCGCTTGAGTACAAAGAGCCTGGAGATCAGCACCAGCAAAGCCAGGAGTTTTTCTTGCAATCCACTCAAGCAAGGATCCAGTAATTGGTTTTGGCCACCTCTGTGTATGAAGAGAAAGAATTGCAGCTCTGTCCTTCATCGATGGCAATGGAAAATAAATTTCCCGATCAAATCTTCCCGGGCGCCTAAGTGCTGGGTCAACAGCTTCAGGACGATTTGTTGCACCTATAACTACAACTGAACCCCTAGATTTCAAACCATCCAAAAGAGCAAGTAATGTTGACACAACAGAACTATGTGTCTGATCTTGCTGCCTAGTTCGGACGGGTGCCAATCCATCTATCTCATCAAAAAATATAATAGAAGGTTGACATCTCTCAGCAACCTGAAATAATAGTCTTAGTTGGCGCTCAGCATCACCCACATATTTTCCCAAGCAATCTGCACCTTTACGGGCAAAATATGCAATCCGTTTATCGCCACAAGCACATGCACCTATCAATGCCCGGACCACTAACGTTTTCCCAGTTCCAGGATATCCATGTAACAGAACACCTCTTGGAGGCGTAAGCCCTAAATTACCAAAGAACTCCGGATATAATAGAGGTAAAATAACAACTTCCTTCATACACTGGATGACATCTTTAAGCCCAGCAACAGATTCCCATCCTTGAAATGATTTTTCACTGGACGAATCTGAACCACCAATGTACACTGGGGCTATTCTCAATAAATCACGATGAAGCCTCTTGTTCTCACGTTTCAAAAATTCTTCATCCTCACCACAATTTTCCAGCCATCTCTCTTCTGCTTCAACATCCTTTTTCCAAGCATCATTTGAAAGTTTCCTCATCTCCAACTTCAATTTCCTAGCTTTCAACTTCTTTATCCGAGCGAAATATTTATTACCGTGAGGTTGAAAGAGATGCCGATGATCTGTGCAAGCTATAAGAAATTTACGATGATCAAAGATGCAACCATTTGCCCTTGCACAAGGCTGAGAAACAGAGATAGCAAGTTAGTTTTGATAAAGATTGGCATAAAAGAAATTATTTATTGTTTGTAAAATCTATATAAAGGGAGTTAAATAGATTTTTTTATTGTTTAGAAAGAGAAAACGTAGCCAACCAAGTGATATGTTTTTGGACAACGATCAACACGACAACCAATGGTAGCTCCTCGCCTCCCACAACGTGTGCACTTCAATGCTCTTCCTCTACAAAGTGCAGCTCTCACATTTTTTAAGCATCCCAAGCCAGCAAAATAAACCTGCAAAAGTATCTCATAATGAATAATTTACTTTAGCACAAGAAAATTGAATAAGCTACAAATAGGCAGGTTATTTCAGTCTGTCAACTACTCAACTCTGAGCAACAAAACTATTAATCTGATAAAATTCAACAAAGAGAAGACAAGAATTTCTGTTCATTAGTTGTTAATAACAAAGCAATGAATGTTGTGAATTAGCGAACATATTGTTTAAGAAATATAAAAGAGAAACTTCTAAAATGGAATCCCCTTTTCTTTGGCTTTATTACGCTTCTTGTGTGCTTTAATTTGGATACGAAAGTTCGACCTTGATAAACACCCCATTTGGAAATCAATTACAGGTCAAGTCATTCATTTGAAGACAAGTACTCAATAAGATTGCTGCTGATGATAATATTGCAGCTTCATGCATCACTTAAAAAACTTCTCCTCATATGCACATTTGTAATGTTTTAGTAGGAAAAAACTGCCCATTCATTTGAAACAACCCAGCAGTCACTACATCTGGAAGTCAAATGAAAAGCCTAAAACTGAAAAGACATTCTAATAAGTAGCAGAGGCAAGTTTTAACCACAAATTTACCAATTGGCTATTAATTCATTACGGGCAGTTTTTGGAATCCACACAAAAGGAGCACCACCGGTGTTTCGTATTAAAGTTGTTAGAGAGAAGAAACCAGCACTTTTGTGGTTGCAGTAACTGCAGATCACATGAAGAAAGCCTGCTGGTTCGACATAATGCAATGAATTGGTTATAAGTCACCATGCAGCATTCTATTGTTCTATCTACATTGTGTCAAATTGAACTGGTTTAATATACAACTTCTACTGCATTTGAGGCAGTCTGTTCAAAGGTCCACCCATAAACAAGGCAGACTCACTGATTTCATTTAACAAATCTTTTATGAATATTCTTATCAAGAATACGATTTTAAAAGTGTGGGAATAAACTCTCCTCAAAAATCAAGGGCAAAGGGGGCATTAAAGAGTTCCAAAATCACCCAGGGCAAGCATGTAATTATCAGATGGAGAGGTTTCTTGTCTTCTTCCTCAGATTAAATTTATGTCATAAACTCTACTAAATTATGAGATGGTGAATCAAAATAGTTACTCATATTTCATTATTGCAATTTGAATCGATAACGTGTCCCCAAAATTCCTTTAAAATATGGCCCCATTTTGATAAGTAAATGCAACCACCATCATAATGTCACCCATGAATTGAAGGATTACAGTATAAAGGAACTTTTATCTTATCATATTATTTTGTAGAGTTCAGCCAATACTAAAGAGATAAAAACAGAGAAAGCAAATGCTAGGGAAAGTCATTTAATAATAACATAACTTTGGTTATTCCAAGAATGTTAATTTACTTGGTGTTTTCTTCATGATGTGCATATAGTGAATTTCAATATTATCCTGGGTAGAAATAATTCTTGTCCATATATCAGTAAGAGTTGATAATGACCATAATTAATAAAAGGTATAGGGGTGATCAAAGCCAAATCTGATGGTATTAATATGATAGAGATGGATTCCATAAGGTAAATAGGAGGAAAAGAAAAGGGTGAAGACCAATATAAGCATTATTTAAAAAGACCCCGAAGATGAGAACTTAAATATATTTAAATTCTAGATACTACTTTGGTCAAACTATTTGTTAGAATATATGAAGCATATCTCAAATATCTTAATTGTACCTAAGAATAAAAAAAAAATCACTCCCCGTTAAACCCGACTAGTAAGTGTGGGGTGGAGGCAATCCTTATACGCAGTCTTACCCTTTTATAATTGCAAAGAGGCTGTATCCTAGATTCGAACCCATGACCTTTCAGTCATGCAAGAACAGTTTTACCACGGCTCCAGTTCACCCCTTTTATATTTCATAGAATAATTTAGAATATTATAGATGATCTCTTAGAAAGAGTTTCCTTATTTCTTTATATTTCATAATTTGTTTCCTTATTTAATTAGGATTTGGAATCTAACATTAGTATAAATAGGGTTCAGTAATTTGTAGTTTGTATCACAATATAACACATCAAATCAATACCAATTTCATATTATTTACTCTTTATTCTCTCTTTTCTTCCTTCACTACCTAAATCCCTATAATCTCAACAATATTAACAAGTGTTATCGAGAATCAAGATGCATGGCATTGGCAATGTATTCTGATTATTGTCATCATTATTAAAATATCACAAATATATGATCACCCAAAAAGAAGCCTATACCATTCCTTGGAACAGAAAAAAAAAAAAAATTGAAAATGATGCATAAGGAATAAATAATAGGAATCTCTTCAAAAGATTTGATAAAGATGAGAGCTTCAAAAGGCAAAAGTAAATCTATCAACGAGTTAACTTAGAGAGTTTAAGATGTCATCAATGATCATCAGCACAGGTGTTAGTTCATTAATAATTACAGTAAAATGCTCTTACTATCAAACAGACATGGAATGCATTTAAGCCCTAAGTAGGAGAACTTAAATTCCAATGTCATAAGCAAGTCTGCTATATTATAAATGAGATTAATGTTTCTCATGTTGCATGAGACAACACATAAAAAAGTGGATGGGACCCACTAAGGAGAAGAGAGAGAAAGACAAAAAAATGGGTCTCATCCTCTCTTTTTTTGTGTTGCATGAAACAATTTATCTCATGCAACATCAAAAACACATTTCCCATTATAAATACTTAGCAATGTAGTACGATAGTTTTCTTAATTCTCATGTCAAGCTCACATATGCATAGTTTCATGATGCAAACCGAGATTCTAAAAGCAATAGATATCTAGATTTAAATCACACCTCTGGACTCCATACAGCACAGTGCTGATGAACCCATATTCCAGCAATACCATAGCGATCATTAATAGGACCCAAGAGGCGCCCCAACCAGCCAGGTTCATCACCGAAGCCATCCCAGATATCATAATTAGGCTCCTCTGAAGCTGAAGAGCCACTATATGCCTCATTCTCACTTTCACCATTATCCTGTACTAATCTTTTTGGAGGTTTACTATCAGTCCCTCCACCACACAAACCACACCGCCTACCCTCTTTAATACGTTGGTGGCGAGGCTTGTCATTTGAAGCTTGTTTGGAATCATTTATCCTTATGATATTAGAATCTTGCAAGGTCATTTCATCCATGTTAACCTCCTTATCAGCAGATTCTTCATTTTCTACGTGTTCTGTCAAAGTTCCAGCAACTTCTGCTTCATCACTTGCATTTTTTCCTTCCTTCGCAGTCTCTAACTGATCATCCTGTTTATCTACAATTTTCACCGGTGACAGTTCAATGCTGTCATTACACTCCTCTGTTTGCACATTGTTAGATAGATCTCTCTCTCCATTCCCTATTGTTGGAGGGGCATTCCCATCCAATATTTCTATCAGATTCCCATCAGACAACTGGGTTTCCTCTAGAACTGAAGCACTGTCCTCATCTTTGCTCAATGTAAGCTCCACTTCTTGATTCTTAGTCTCAAGTAAATCCTCATGAGTCTCATTCTCTTTATCTTTATGCCCCTCTTCACCCTTTGTAGCTTTGATCCTCCCGGGCCTCTTCGTCTTAACTATTTTCGGCATCCCATCTTCCAATTCCTCTTTCTTACCAACCTCTCTAACCTCAACCTCCTCCTCATCTCTCCTTTCAACACCTTCCTCAATCAGTTTCCTTTTCCCACCTGGCGATTCCCTCTCTTCCTTCACCTCAAAACCTACACTTCTAACCCTTGATCTCAACCTCGAACTCCAAGCTTTCGGAATCTCTACCCCAACAGAGCTCCTGGTCACCCGCTCTTCAATCTTAGCATCCTTCACACCACTCAGCACTCCATTCTTGATCAACCTCTGCCGCTTCTTCGGAGGAGCGGGAGACGCATCCAGCAGAACCGGGACACGCCGAACCCGAGAGCTTCGGCGAACCCCTCCATCACCACCATCCTCAACAAAATCACCCTCATTGAATTCACCATGGTTTCGATTATATTCCTCCTCGCATATCGCGTCCAACCTCTTGTGCTTCTTCCGAAGCCGCAAACCCGATCGAGCAGCATTCCTCTGCTCCAATGACGAACCAGATTCGCACGGTAATTGCATGACAATATAGCCAAACAATCGCTACACAAAGAAGGGGAAAAAAGACTGAATTATTTTCTACCCAAAAATTATCACGAATAACTACAAAATGGGTATTGATCGATTCGCTTCTTCGTCCAAATGGGTGTTCGAAGATGCACTGATTCGGAGGAAAAAAAATGCCACACTCACCAAACTAGAAGCTGAGCTTGACTATCCAAGTTTGAGAGAGAGAAACCGAAACCCTAAAAATCGAATTGGGGAAGCATTTTCTCTTGAGATATGGTTAGGTTTCGAAGAAAAAAGGTTTCCATGAAGATTGGGGTTTCTGTGTTTTGGGTTCTTCCGATTCTTTTTCTTTTTCTTTTTCTCTTTGTTCTTTTCCAGTTTTTCTCTGAAATTTCACTCTTTTGCTTTACTCCCAGAAGGACTAGGGCGTGTGAGAGTGAAACATAAGAGGGTTTTGCTTAAATGTTTCTGAGCTCATGATCACGCTTGAGTTGGTGACGTGGTTGTACGCGCTATTAGGTGGGGCCAAAGAATACGCTGCCGCTGATGTATCTATCGTAGGAGGCTATGACACGCGCTGGCGTAGTGAGTGGGATTAATATCTGGTCGTATTTTTGTGCAAATATTTTTGTTAATTTTCATTTTAACAACGTAGTGTTGCCGCCAAATATATGGGTTTCGCAGATTTTTGCACCATGTAATAAGACACCAACGAAAAAGGCAAAGTGGAAGGGTATTTGGTGTATGCATTGCATGTTGTTTCTGTTTTTTAAGGGCAACGGCTACTTAAAAATTTATGTGGCGACTACTTGTGCTTTTTGCAAGTTTTCTCAATTTTATTTTGTCATTGGATGGGAGGTTCTAGTCAAAAACTAAATTATGAATCAATTTTCAGCTTTTGTTTTAAGATTATTTTTTTTAAAGCGCACATAGTCAAAATAAATCCCAAATTTTGAGGACATTAAATTGAGTAAATACTTAAATTAATCATTTAAAGATACATGGAACGTCAAATTTGTAAATAGCTTATAGGGATTTCATTATGGCCATGTGTATGAAAAAGACTTTGTTGATAGAGGCAAAATTCACTTCAATGATCTCTACACCCCGAGGAGATTAGTCATCACATGTAGGCAGGAAGATATCGTGAGTTATACTCAAAGATACATGGAACATCAAATTTGTCTTTTTAAATCAATAAATACTTAAAGGGTTTCAATTTTTTCTTGCAATAGGAAAAAATTTTCTCATACTATAGACACATCTTGTGTGGGGTCAATATCTATTAAAAAACTAAAATAAAAGAAAATACTGCACAGAAATCGAAGGGTCGTCGGTAGGAGAAAATAACTCTCCTACAGCATGAGAAAATATTTTTCTATACTTAAATTAATCGCCAAACATTCACGAAAATATTCATGTAAACCTTGTGTTCATGGTAACAAAAACAAAAATGTATGTTGAGCGTCCTTCTCTTATGCGAGTATGACTCGCTAGTATCAAACAAAAGGGTAATTTTATGGAGGAAAACAAAGTATTGATTAGACAGAATTCGGCTAAAGCACCATTTTAGGACTTTTGAGCAAACGAATTGTCCAGTTAAAGCTGATTGGATAAGTTTTTCCAAACTAAAGCAGTCAAACATGTCACTGGTATATTGACGGGACTAGTCCCGTCAATGATACTAACGGGACTCATGCTATGTCAGCGCCACGTAAACAGTCATGTTACCGTAAAACTTCGGAAGGCCATAACTTTTCACTCGAGTATCCAAATTAGATAAAAAAAAATTATTTCACATAACTTTTTGAGATCTACACAATGACACCTTATTTGACATATTTTATCTCCCACAAACATAGTTTGAATTTGCAACAATAGTTCCACAATTACAAGATCATTTAAATCCAGAAGATCCTAAGTTCTTTCCGAACCAGCACCATGAGCTGTCGCACATGCCATCTTTTGGATTTATAAAGCTCTTGTGATTGTGTTACCATTTTACAAATTCAAACTATGTTTGTGAGAGATAAAATATGTCAAATAAGGTGTCATTGCATATATCTCGAAAAGTTGTGCGAAATCAAAAAAAAATCATCTGATTTGGATACTCAAGTAAAAGTTATGGTCTTACGAAGTTTTACGGTAACGGAACTGCCTACGTGATGCTGACATGGTACGAGTCCTGTCAGTATCATTGATGAGACTAATCCCGTCAGTATCAGTGACGTGTTTGATTGCATTAGTTTGGAAAAACTTATCCAATCAGCTTTAACTGGGCAATTATTTTGCCCAAAAGTCTTAGAATAGTGCTTTTCCCGATAGAATCCCATTGTACAAAATACAATAATAAATGAGGAATACATCCCTCCTTTAACAGGACAACAAAACAACATTCATGCTGATTACGAGTGTAAATAGGCTAGGCTAGGCTAGGCTTTGGCTTAAATAGGCTAGGTGTAAGAACCCGCACCGCTAAATTAGGAATTTAAATAATTTAATTATGAGTTTAGGAAATAATTCCACAATTGACTTTGGATAAATATGGAAACAACATAATAATTAATATTAAGCCATTTTTCAGAAGGAAAGTGTAAATGTAACAGCTCATTACGTACTGGTAATGTTATCATTGCATATGGTATTAAGCGCAGTTACAATCATAGTAATTGAGTTAATTAAATTACGAGTAAACTTTTTCTTTTTATTAACTCCTTGCCTTTAAACATTAACCATTTATGTAATCAATTAAAAACAACATCGTAATTGTAAATGCAAAACTCGTGGAAGCATAAACCTTATTTATTATAACCCCTCCAAGCAATACCATTAACTCTAGGTTATAAAATGACTCATTTTCAAAAATTGCACAGTAGGAATCGATTGCCGAGTGCAGGGAATCGATTATCAACAGCTACAGTAACAGACAGTAACTACAATTTGGCTCCCCTGTTTTTAGGAATCGATTCCCATCATATCGAATCGATTCTCAGCCTTCACAGTGGCTGAAATTTGCGTGCTCTGTTTCAGGGAATCGATTCCCTACTGTGAAATCCCAGTTTTGACAGCTTTTTGACTTCACAAGGGATCCATAATTTCATTCCTAACACTTTAATACTTAATATAACACATGTATCATTACTAATGTAGGCTCTAGGCCCTTCCATCATGCATAATCTAATACCAATGTATCATTTTACATCATTTATCATATCCTTTTCCATTTACACATCATATGGCTCATTTTACATCACAAGTATCCAAATGCCTCTAAACACAAAATATGTGGCCATGGACAAGTCTCATGCTCACCAAGATGTCAATATAAACAATAAGCATGAATGTAAGACTTAGAATCTAATCATGAACACCACAAAAGCATGGAAATCTCAATATGCAATATGTTCATGATCTAAGTCCAAAATGCTAAATGTAATGCTATGTGCATCAAATAAACTCCTCCAAAATGCCATGTTCTCCATATGCACATCATGATCCAACTCCTCCACTAAGCAGGCCTATTGCCCGGAGGTCCTCCATGCTCACTATAACCTGAAATGATGTCTCCAAACGCGGGGTGAGATATACAAATATATCTCAGTAAACCAAGGGTACTAGAGGATCACTCCACCCCATGGTTCACTCAATGTGCATACAATGATCATCATATGAAATGCATAAACATACAAGATCACACACACTGGGCTCACATCCAAGAACATCCACACAAGGATTTCATTCAAGGGCCCCATCATATAACTCTCGGGAAGCTTCCTGGTGCCTCTCCCATGGATGAAACGACCCCATGGCAATACCCAACTAGAACTTCTCATGAGCCCTATCCAGTGGAAGTCCCACGTTTGGATCATCCTGGTGCCGCTCCCAGAGTCGGCCTCATGGCAAAACCCGACCGGAATCCCCCAAAGTGATATCTCCAGCGGAAGTCCAAACCACACACATCTACTGGCCAGATATCACAGAATATATCACAGAATATGTCACACAATCAAAGCAATAATGCATGAACATGTCATTTCACACAAGGTCAAAGAGCACAAAATCCAACCACAACCTTCCACTAGTTGTGGCGGAACACACAAGGGATAAAATCCAAGTACCAAGAGTTTACCTCAACTCCGTACAAAATGCTCCACACGTAAGCTCCAAGCTTATACCACTTCTATTGGTTCCGTGAGAGGCAACCTATATGATCAAACAACAATGATCATCAATACAATTTTTAAGGCAATCAATTTATTTTCAAAATACTAATTCCCAACCTATTCACTTAGGCCAAAGGGCTATTTCACATTTATTTTTCCTTAGACTTCCATATAGGTCAAATTCCTACACACATAACCATCCAACATTCTTCCTTCCAATTCCCTTACATTATACCAACCTACCATCCATTTAAACACCATTTTCAACCATACAACCTCAACTACATAATTTTTACATCATTTTTTCTCCAAACCCTCTATGGTTCGAATTTCTCAAGGACACATGCTCTAAGGTTTTCAATCCAATTCAAAACTCACACATATCATACAATCCTATTATTAACTCATTACAATGGTCCACAACTCAATTATTCAACCCTATCACCATACCAATTCACAAAGTATTGATATCTCATCACAAAATTTTCTTAGTTAAAATTTCCAAATCACAATAATTTTTATTACATCAATCATCATCATTTATCATTCTAAGCATTTAATTCCAAAGGAGACATACCATTTAATGCTCCTAACTACCATAGCTCAACACACATCATCAAAACCCTCACCATTTTATGATCTCATGAAAAACTCAATGAGAATCTGAAACTTACCACCAAAGCTTCCTAGGATCCAAGGGGATAGTCTCCAACCAATGAATCAATACAAAAAGTCCCAAAATTTCTCCAAAATGACATAAATTCCGGGGCTGATTTTGGGATGTATCTCTTTCCACAATGCTCCCCCACAAGATGCTCTCTACATGAAAGTCATTCACAAGAGAGTGGGGAACAACTTTGTAGTTGGAAG